GATCATGAAGAAGGGATATGGGAGAACTAGTAAGGTTTTTTTATAAGTTAATTTGACATTACTTTAATTTCTAATTGTTTTTATTTTATGTTTGATTTAATTTCTAATTATTTTTATTTTGTGTAAACAGGTACATGGTCGATTCAACCGACAACCCTTCTTCATCTAGCAACCCTAGTAAAAGAAGAGTTAGAGGTCCCACTATGATGGCACAAATTGACAAAGTTCATCAAACGGGTGAAAGGATAAAGGTCAAGTTTGATCCAAGAACTTATGAATGTACCGGTGTTGGTAAAAATGCTTCTACTTTTAAGAGTTATGTAACATCTCTTGCTCGGAAGAGATGTAGTATTTTAATAGATGAGTGGAAAGACATACGTAGAGATATAAAAGATTCTATTTGGGTTGATGTTCAGGTATTTTAAATTCAAAACTTTATTATATTTTATAATCACATACTAACAACATATGCCATATACTAACAACAAATTCTTTATGTATATGTGTAGGCTCATTTCACTATTCCAGAATGTGATGATCCAAAGAAGGATCCATTGAAGGATGAATGGATTAAATATACGGGAGAGCGATAGAGGGGTTTTAAGACACAACTCACAAAAGAATATATTAGAAATCCCAAAGAAGGTTGCACTCCCGCACATGTCAAGTATAATTATATTAAAGAAGAAACATGAAAAGAGTTTCTGAAGTCTCGAGATACCCCTGAATTTAAGGTTAGTAAGAATTATATTAATTTTTTCATGCATAAATTTTTTATTATGTTTAGTGATTAATAAATTTTTGAGTTTATAATAGAAAAAAGTCAAAAGGGTATGGAAAGTGTGGCTAGAAATGTACACCCACACGTATTATCTCATGGAGGATATCGCTTGCTTGAGGAAAAAATGAAAAATGAAAGGAAATCATCGAGAGATGATTCCACAGTAGATGATAATGGTAGTCCATCTCCACCGTCACGCCATAAAATATGGAAGAGAGCACGACAGAAGAAAGAGGGAGAATACACATCACATTCTACACAAGTTGTTGCTGAGAAAATTGTAAGTAAAATTTAGAAAATACTTTAAGTATCATTATAGTTGTGATTGATAAAAACTATTGAAATTAGTTTTTTTTTTTTGAATTTTGTAGGATTCTCTAGTTGAGGAAGCTGAAAAGGGTATCTTTGTTCCGGATGGACCTAACGATATCTTAACAGCAGCCATTGGAACATCTGAGCATGACGGTCGTGTTCGTGGTGTTGGAAAACACCATAAAATTAGCACTTTTTTTGGAAGGTCGTCTTCACGTCGATGACAACATATGGATGTACAAGAACAACTAGCACAATTTTCTTTGGAATTGGAAGCAAAACTTAGAGCTGATTTTGAGCAAAAGTTGGTTGAAGAGCGTAAGGTGTTACAACAATCTTTTATGGAGACAATTAGGTCTATGGGTCTCTCGTAAAGCACAGAAAATAAAAAATACATTGAACAAATGGAGGTTGTCGAGGGAAGCGGAAAAGGAAGTTGTTCAGCTCCAAAAGGAAGCACAAAAGAAGTGAAAGACGATGTTCAAAGATTGATACTCGTGGTTCTGAAAATGGATGACACACACTTGGAAATAAAATTAAGTCATTGTGTGAGTGTCACTAATTTTTATATGTCAACTAAGTGTATCAGAGAGTTGTTGGTGGGGTTTCATTGGCTTGACGTGTCTATTCTGCAAGTTTGGTCCATGTAAGTACATTTTTTTTTTAATTATTATTGTTAATACCTATTAATATGTTATATCTCTCATCACTTTGATTCTAATGTTTATTTTAAAATTATTCAGGTATATTCATCGTGTATGTATTGATAAACCCACATCAGAAGTATATGGATTTATGGACCCTGCTAGGTGTGTGTATGTTGATAATCTGCAAAAAACTGAAACAGAGGTTAAAAAATACATACAAGATAAGTTACGTGACGAAAAGAGAGTGTGTCACTTACTACCATTTATTCATTGGTAAGTTTGTATGAAAGTGTGTTTTCTATTTTTTATTTTTGATATTTTATGTGACTTTTGTGTTTTCACGCACACGTACAGAGACCATTGGCAATTAATAGTCATATGTTCAAGAGACAATATTGCGGTCGTCTTTTGTTCACTTCATCGGGAACTTAATCTAACCATGAAGAAAATTGTTACAAAGTAAGTTTATATTTTATCTTACTTTTGTTATAATATATGTTATATCCCATATACATAAAATTTTACAAAAGTAACATAATAGTTTATGTTGCTCTATATGGTTTTTTTTCCTGAATTAGTGCTTTCGGGGTTTATCAAATGGCAAATGGCAATAGAAAAAAGGCTACATGGCTTCAACCCAAAGTAAGCGTGATGTAAATTATAATTCTATATTTAATTTTATCATAAGTATTCACTAATTGTGTCATTCATTTTAGACAAGGCTACAACATAACTCTATTGATTGTGGGTACTATGTTATGAAAAATATGTTGGATATTGTCTCTGCCAACATAACTTAGTCTTGGTTGCAGGTAAATAAAAATAACTTTACTTTGTTATTTACTTTGCGTTTTGCAACTTAAGGTGAATTTTTAAAGAATAACTTTATATTGTTATTTACGTATTTTAGGTATTTGATGACCCAACAGAATTAACACAAGATGATTTGTATGATTTGCAACCCCGTTGGGCAAAATGTTTCTTTGAGTTATATAAAAATTAAGCTTTATATGGTGAGTTATATAGAATTGTCTATATATATCTGAATTGAGTTTCTTGACTTTGGTATTGTCTGCTGATGTTTATTGGTATTATTATTTATTGTCAACAAATGTGATTTTGGTGTTGTCTACCGAAGCTAGCTACAACTTATTTCTTGTGGATTGCACGTTGGTATTCAAGTGTGGTAAAGGACTTATAAATGGTTGAATATTTTTGTTTGTTTTCACTGGTTTTGTTGTTGTATTAGTCCATCGTGTAAAAATACATATAATTTTGTACACTTGTGTGTATACTAGTTTATGACTTTTGTAAATCAATTTGTTCATGTTGAAGAATATGTGCATCCTAACTATTTGGTGCAATGAAACCAAAAGGTTAGTTGAAAAAAATATGAAAATTAAATTGCATACCAAATAGGGACTAAAATGTGGTATGTGTGATGTTGGAAAAATATGAAAAATTAGGTACAAAAAAAACTACAGGGATTCCACATCAATTCGAATAAAAATTAGTCAAAATTTTTAAGAAAAACAACCTATATTTTACATCGGTTGCACCTAGAAACCGATATAAAAACATAATTTTTGAAGACACGTAGCACACCTTTTACATCGGGCCAAAAAGGCAGCCGATGTAAAAAAAACACCTATGACATCTTTTACATCGGTTCTGCTGAACAACCGATGTAAAAACTCACCTATGACATATTTTACATCGGTTCTGAATACCAACTGATGTAAAAAGTGTTTTTTTATAAAAAAAAACAAATAATAAATTCATATTTCAAATCAATCTTAACTGTTAACCGATGTAATAATGTATTTTTTACATCGGTCTATGACCCGATGTAAAATGTCTTTGACTTACTACATCGTTTGGCTTTACATCGGACCCAGACCCGATGTAAAATATGTTTTTGACCCGATGTAAAAAGTCATTTATGCACTAGTGAAAGAGCTCTCCAATACATTAGGCGGTCCTTCTAAACTTTTACACTTAGCCGCCAAAATATTGAACAATTCTCTTTTATTTTACAAGCATTAGCCAAAGCAATGAACAATTCTCTTTTATTTTACAAGCATTTGCTAAAGCAATGAACGGTTGCTTTATACAAACACAAAAAAATTTTAAAACAATAATATTATATATACATATATATATATATATATATATATATATATATATATATATATATATATATATATATATATATATATATATATATATATATATATATATATATATATATATATATATTAAAATGAGTGCTATTTTCGTATTTTGCCTGCAAAAAGATGAAAAGACAGTGCAACTTTCATTTATTTAAGTTGGTGCATCGCAAGTCGACTAGGAGATGTGGTACAATTGACAAATATAGGGCAAAGTACACAGCTAAATTAGGATAATTTGGTGTAAAGAAGCACTGAATACCTTCTTTTTTTCCCTTAATACTACCATGCATGTCGGGGGATATTTTCAATGGCAAGTTGGTAGGGTCAAAACTTTACCTCACATTTTACTTGAATAAGAAATCTGCTATAACTTCTGGGTAAAAAATAAACAAAAGGTCCATCATTAGAGTACACCAAACTCAAAAAAAAAAAAATAGCAAAGATGTAGACACTCTCAATAATCAATATTCTGAATGAAATCAACCACCAAAATAAAGTAGGGACCATGCACTTTGTTCGGGTGTGTATTTTTCACATGCCTAATATTGTATCCACCCACTTGTCTCTGTACACTGTTTCTGTCCTTATCATAGATAGGTGCTGTACTATAATAAAGTAATCAAATCGAATTTTTCCTAAACACGTTTTCTCTGCCTTGTTTTTGTCCCTATTCCAATATTCTATTTTCATTACATAAAATACACTTCAAGAGACAACCTCTTCAAACTAACCAAAAACACATAGAAATCACCTATGAAGAATTTATAAAATGGTTAACAATATTATTAATACACATAAACGTGATCAAGCTGAGTTCATATTTATGATAATTGAAAAACCCGTTTCCGATTAGAAGCGGAAGTAGATAGACGAGCGAAAGCCGCCCCGCCCCAAGACTATTATGAACAAAAAAAAGAAATAGTCTACTTTACCTACATAGAGAGATGTCTCCTAATTCTACTACTACTGATAAAATTACTTCAAAAATATAAAACAAGCTAATCAAAGTACTAGTACTGGCTAAAATTCATAAAAAGGAACACAATTGTTTTACAAGAAAGCAGAGAAAATTTGCAGCATTCAATCTCATTGTGTATCACCAATTTTGGAAGAAAGAACCGATAAAAGCTGTTCTTGTGTGTAAAATCTACTTCCCATGTTAATAGAAGCCTGTTGAATCATCAAATCATTAACAACAGAAACACTTGCATGATTCACATCAAGATCCAACTCTTTTAACGCTGCCATTAATTTCGCTGCAGGGTGATTCTTCTTGCTACATTGAATCCTAATCATTGCATCCCATCCCATGATTTTCACATCTATGTCTAAATCAATCAACTTAGAGTTGTTGTTTGTTTTCTCTTTTTCTTCTTCATTTAACAGAACTGGTTTTTTAGTTGCAATTTCTAGTTCCTTCCTGGTTGTATCTAGTTCTTTCTCCAATTCACCTTTAGATGATTCAAGCCCTTGTAGCTTGGATTTCAATTCATTTATGTAAGAAATCGCATCTCCGAGAAGCGAAGCTTTGTCCATTTTAGAAACATTCGGAACCACAGCCCGTAAAGCGTAGAATCTTTGATTCAGTTTCTCTCGTCGCTGTCTCTCTGCTTCCACGTGGTTCAAGGGTTCTTCTCTTCCATTGGCTGGTTTTCTACCTCGCTTCCGAGGCCGCTTCTCCGGTTCCATAATTCTGCAGCTCACAGCTTCCTTCACCACGGAAACTTCCACATCTGAATGATCGGAATCTCCGCCGCCAGATTTTATACCCGAGGCCTGTAACAGTTTTCCAGAAGTGAATGAAAGAATTCCATCGTCGATACTACTTCTAGACACCGGAGACCTCCTTTTTCTGTTTTCCTCATTGGCAGCAAACGGTGACGGACCGGGAAAGAAATTACCATTGGCGGAGCTGTAAGAACTCTTTTTACTCTCGCCGAAGTTCAGAATCTCGCCGGATTCCGGTTTGAAAGAACCTGAAAAATTAAATTCCTTTGGAAAGAAGGTCTGGTTCTGATTTTGGTTCTGGTTTTCTCGGTGACCAGTTGAAATGTTAACGGCGGTGGATGTTTCCGGTACACTAGAAGAAGCACCGTGAATTTCAAACGGTAACTTTTTAGTGATTGTTGTATTTGCTGAAGTGGTTACACTAACGGCGCTAACAGTATTGACGGAGTCTCTAATTTCAATCCCACCGGGGATATCCAACCACATGGAAGAAGGATCGTTGTCGCCGGAATTCAACGGCCAAGATCGTGCTTCTGGATTATTGAAATCAAACAAAAAACGAACCTTCTCCATTATACCAGCGCTATGTGGAATTATCTCAGTAGATGCGAGCTCAACGACACCGTTTGAAGACGGTGCTGGTATATATACCAAAGTCTGAAGCCCGTGAACATGTGCTGCGCGGGTTCGTTCACATGTGGACATGGAAAGCCTATCGTTGATCCATACCGGGGAAGAATTAAAGTAAGCCTGGCTCAGTAAACCACTGCCGTTCACGAAAGAGTGTGTCATCGAAGTGAGAAAGAACCACTCAGTATCGGTGACATCTTCGTCAACAACATCATCTGAGCCAGACGAGCCAGAAATTAAGGAGTTAAGTTCTCGGAGGACTTTATTGCGATGAGCTTGTTGTTCAGGCAAGATAACCTTTTTGGCTTTTTCTTTGTCATCTTCGCCTTTGTAATAACCGTCTCCCCAACCGAGGAGCTGTCTGCTGGTAGAGTAGTCGTAAGAAGTTTGCCAGAAGATGGCGTAAGTCCAGCTCTCTTTTGCGTCTTCTATTAAAGCTTGAAGACGGTGTTGGAGAGTTTCTTGGTTGAAGAGAGGCTGTTGTTGTGATGGAAGTTTGGTTGTGTCGGGTCCTGGTGTGGTGGTTGATGCAGCCGAATTTGGTGTTGGAAGCCAAAGAGAAGAAAGGTCGGAGGAGCTCATGAAAGCTTCCATGACGGAGGAGTTCTCGTCTGTCCAGATACTATTCATTGTCGGAAGTGAGCGGTAATCTCTCATTCCATGCAATGGTCAGCTGTGTTTGTTGAGAGAGTGAAGTGTTTTGCGGCGGAGCGGAGGAGGGAGTGAGAGTTGTTGCTGATTTTGATAATGGGAGAATTTGTTGTTGAAAATAGAAATTTTTGTTCTCTAGAGAGAGAGTGAGAGGGTAGTGAGAGAGAGTAGACAAGGCTGATGACTAATGAGTGTAGTGCATTTGTTTTTGAAGGAGAGACAAAGAGAGAGTATAATGTGTTGGTGAGGTTTCGAGGAAAAAGGGCACACAGATTAAATTGCAAAGATAGGTCGGAAAATGACGGCTTCTTATTTTCATCCTTCACTCTAGAATTTATCATTCTTCTTTTACATAAAATTATTCTAGAAAATCTACCAAGCATTTAATAACTCTTTAAATTGCACAATTTAAAGAATTTAAAAATATAATTTTAGTATTGTAAAACATAACATTGTATTGCATGATTTTAAAACAAATATTTTTATATTGGATATTTAATTAGTTTGGTTAGTAATATTTTTTTCTAGAATGAAATTTTTGGGAGTGAAATGTGCACCTATATGAAAGATGACATTCGAATAAAAAGAAATAACATAATTTTTTTTAAAAATAAAAGTCCTTTTAATATTTTTTATCTACAATTTTCATCTCTTCCGTTGACAGCACTTGTTAATAGAGTTGACGTGATATTGACACTTGACAATGTGAGTATGGCAAAGATGCTGACATGAATGACACATGATATTTTGTCATTATTTTATATTATTTATATAAATTTAATTTATAATAATAGATATTTCGTCGCTAAATCTATCACTAACATGAAATTCATAATAGAAATCCATAAATCGTAGCTAATATGTACTTAATTCGCAACTAATTCCTAACTAATTAAAACACATCATTCTTATGAACTTGACTTCGTTTTTTATGATTTTTTTGCAAGAAATTTTATCACATTATAAAGATCTCTTCCACAAAAATTTAATTGTTTTATTTTTACTTTTATGAATTAAATATCAATTTTTAAGTGTCGATTTTCCATGAAACGATAACAAGGAATACATTAGCATATCACTGAATTTTCATCTAATCTTTTGCAGGGAATTATATCATAACACATAAAAATGATCTGTAATTTTTTATGGCATTTCGAATAAGTCTCGATTAATTTTGATTTTTCAATCAAAACACATATAAATTTGTTTTTTTTTTCAAGTGACAAAGTGATAAATTTAACCTTATTGATTATGTTTTTCTAATTCACGTGAAATTTTCAAAAACGTCTTATAATTTGGGACTGAAGAAGTATAACCTTGATAAAACCAATTTGAACATGCTTCCTTTATGTCAATAAGCTTTGATTTGCATGTGTGGTTGGATTCGTGGACATATTAATTGCAGAGACACACTTGTATCATAACCTTTTTGAAGATTGGCTTTGTCATCTAAAAAGGAGTAACAGGGCAGTTTGTTGTTCGTTTGTCTGTTAATTATGTATAATTTTTATTTTATATAGAGTGGGGTTCAACTTACTCTAATATTAAGCATTTTTAACTTACTCAAAATTATAGCCTTTGAATTAAATTTAATATAATGATTAATTAGAATTTTCATTTAAATTAACTATTTGATTAAATCTAATTTAAAAGCTATAATTTAGAATAAATTTAAAAAATTTATTTATGAGTATGAAGGCATATGCCTTTCTTCTGCAAGTTTTCTTTATTCTGGTGTTTCATTTGATGGTGCAGCAGTCACGTCATGTTTAACCAGTTCTCAATACTCTTTGGATCGAAGTAAGTTTTCCATGAGCATGGCCAATGATCATAGAAGCCATCGAATTTGGGAATAATTGGAGTTAAGAACTTTGAGGAATCAACCATGGAAGGGACTCAAGTGGCAAGACGCAAAGATGAAGAAGACTAAAACGATGAGACACAAAAAGGAAGAAGATAACTGAATAACCGAACCAACTAATTTTCCCACCTTTAATCAGAAACTGTATTTCTTAATTGAAGGAAGCACACCAGAATCAGGAACCTATGGTCTTGATACCACTTGTTAGAATATGGAAAATTCGTATTATGATAGTACCAAAAAGTAATCTTATATACAATGTAGGAGATTACTTGTATAATAACCAATCACACTTAGGCAAACTAACTAAAATACATATAGCTAATATTTAGTTATATGATCATCCAATGATATTCTAACATCCTTTGCAAGAAATACGTGTGCAGATGCTCCAAATGTCAAATGTAGTGTTGGAGTATATCACATTGTATGTGAGGTATTTGGAAATCGAATTGATTAATCATAAGACAACAATGTCGTTATAGCAAAGCCAAGACGAGTAAAAAGGATCACCCTCTACGAGGCTGGTAATGATCCTTCAAGAAAACTAGACTTGTTTGTTTCTATTACTGTCATCTTAATCGTACGATGACACAAGTTAAAATTTTCACTAGTGGGTGATTGAGAAACAAGGGTTAAGATAGGAAAATCATTAAGAACGATGAAGTAAAGATCATAATGATTGTTTTCAACTAAAATGGATGCAATGAGAAATCTTAAAAGGGAGTAAGAGAAAGAAGATGAAAGGAAATGATTGATTGCTAAAGAACCCAACCTCTCAAACTTTTAACATCATATTAAAGTTTAGAGAATGATAAGTTTTCATTTTCATTGAATTAAATTTCTTACATGATCATACCATAGAAATCATTAAATACTTAGCTTAACATTAACCATATAATGAACTTTTATGATTGACCAAGTTATCCTAACCAACTTCTAAAGGTAAATTAAAATGATATAATAATAAAAATTCAACTAGCTAAGTTGGAATGAAACTTGATATAATACAATTATAATTTATATATAAGACACAAGTATAGCTTTATATATGTTTTATATGTTCGAGTTTTGGATAACGAATATAATATTACATGTGCTAGGGTCATTATTTAATTAGTCAAAATGATAGTTATCTAATTAATATTAAGTTTGTGGTTAAAAGCATAAATGTCATAAAAACACTATATATCTTGTTTTCTTTCTTGTGAAAGCATTTTCTATGAAAAGATTTAGTTAAAATAATGAAATCATTCAACAGATCTCTAGGATGGGTTGCAAGTGAAGAAAAAAAATTCCATGGTTGGAGTAGATAACTTATCCGAAATTGATCCATTGAACTTGAAAAGAATGCGCACAAAAGGTATACAACAAAATCTATATAACATCAAAGATTTGTTGTTCTCCAAGAATAACTAGAAAATATTTGTTGTTCTCCAAAAATTCATTGTCTAAATTTGGATTTGTTTAAACAATCAGTGTAAACAATGTATTTTTTGTTAAAACTTACTTCCTTCAGTTTTTAACAGAATCCGAGAGGTACGCAACACTTCGGGTGGAATATATTTTATTGTATTTTTTATTTAAAAAGAAACACATTTTCCTCTGTTTGAGTAATAACCAAGAGGAAATATAAGCATGCTTATTGAGTTTCTTCTCCATCTTGAACCATCCATAAACAGAAGAAGTCTGCATTCTGGGAGACATCTTCTGAAGGTGAGAAAATACTTAGAAGGGGGGGTTGAATAAGTATGTAGAAAAACTTAGAAATAAAAACTCAAGGATTTTTATCCTGGTTCGTTGAACTCAACTACTCCAGTCCACCCTATCAAGAGTGATTTGCCTTTCTCAAACAAGGACTTAATCCACTATTAAATCAACTGATTACAATAGTAAGCACTAAGAACAACTGTTCAAAGTCTTCTCAAGAACTACTGATCCTAACTGGATCTTCTTAAGGTTCTTTTACAATCAAATGTAATAATAATACAAGTGTTTGATTTGCTTATAATAAAGCGTTATCACAACTGTGATTTTTCACTTAAGATTAAGAACAATGAAATAAATTCAGCAAGTGAGTATAAGTTGTATGAGAGCTTGTAATGAATTCTTTCAAGTATTTCGTCAACTGAAGAAGATGAATGGAGTCTTGCTTTTATAGGCACAGAGGTCCAAGAGCTTTTCACGTTGAAGGTTGTGTACCAAAAAGGTCTGAGCCTTTTTGTCTTCACATCACATGACCTTTCCTAGAAGTAGAATGCACAGAGAAATCCTTTTTGTCTGTGTTCTTGTGTCTAGCATAAATGAGGAAAGAGTCGTTTGGTCATTCCAACGGACATAACTTTGAATTCTTCTTCAACAAGTTTCAGCAAGAATCATCAGAGTCTAGATTGATCAGAGCCTTCTGATGTTCATCAGAGTTTGCTGAATCAGAGTCTTTGCAGCAGGCGTGCTATCAGCGTGTAATTGTTCAGAGCAGAGTTTGAGATCAGATCCTCAGTACTGGCAGCATTAGTACTATCAGAGTCTTCTGAAATAACTGTGCTTGAAACTCTTCACACAGACTTCTTCAATGCTTCAGATGCTTCTGGCTTCTACTTCAGATTCTTCTGTTGCTTCTGCTTCAGATCCTTCTGTAGACAGCGCTCAGAATCTTCTATAGACAGCACTCAAAATCTTCTAAGAGATGCTTCTGATGCTTCAGAGCCTTGCATAATTTCATGTTCAGATCTAATTTGCTTCCAGAAGAATATTCACTTTTAATATCTGCAGCAAACAATCTTAAACAATTTTTAGAGTATATAATTCTTTAATACAAAATTTCATAATAGTTATCATCAAAACATAGAGATATTATTAAGAACCAATTTGTGTTCTAACATCTTCTTGCTGAAGAAAGCCAATTGATGCTCTTCTTGTGATAAGGTAGTGCCTATAGCTACACCAGATGCATCCGTTTCTAAGATAAATGTTTTTGTAAAGTCTGGCAAAGTCAGCGCTGGCATGTCACACATTTTTTTAACTCTATAATGGCAAAACTAGCCTTTGTACTCCATGAGAATTTAGTGGAACACAATAAATCAGTGAGACAAGTGGCGAGAGTGGGGGTAATTGTGCTCAAAGTGCCTATAAAATTCGGTGATCC